GCATAGGGTAAGCCGACCAGCGTCCTCGAAAAAACTCACTGTCTTATCCTTCCCATTTAATATTCTGAGAACAAAAATTCTTCCCAAAATATTTTCTAACGGAAATAATAATTTTTAAATAATTGGAAATGTAAAGAGGTGAGTTTTCGATTATTCTCTTAAGAGATTTGCTACCAGTTTCTTAATTTTTTTTGAGGAAGCTTGTTAGCTTAGCATAGTTCACTTCTTTAATTATTATAAAAAGCACGCATCTTTTGCAGCTCGTTAGCAAATATGAGAAAGTAATTAGAACAAAAATAAAAGTTTGTGAATATCAGTTTACACTATGCTACAACACTTAGAGTAAACGCATCGCTTGCTGTTGTAACCACCTTTTGTAACCATACATTGAGTTGCTCTATTAGATTTACCAAGAAGTTGAAGATTTTCTTTTACCAATAACCTTTCTGAATGAACATACCTCTTTTTCGTCGAATTAGGATTTTGGATCCCCGAAATATAGAGAGTAGCCGCAATCTAGATAATATGGTCCAAATAGTTAGCAAAGGGAAAAGTAAGAAAAAGTACGCATCAAAAAAGCATGCTAAGCTAGACAGAAGTAAAGTATGAGAATTGCGTAGTAATCCGAATGGAACTGCTAGAGCGATTCCGGGGTTGGCGGGCACTCGCGAGCTGTTGATAGAGCCTCCTAGTTTGCTATATTATAATTATAACCGTCGTTGAACAACCGACCCAATTTTATGGGTTTACGACTACTAATGTTCAACTCCGTAGCCTTGTAATTAAGAACCCAATCCAACAGACAAGGAAACTCCTGGATCGAATATTGGGAGAAATTTGCTTTCGTGGAAGTCTTTCTGATGGAGTTAACCAGCATTTGCGTTATATGGTGAGGAAGACCACGAGAACCTCCCACGGTTAGCCTGACGGAAAGGGGACTCTAATCCATGATCCGTCTACCACGGAGGATATTTCACGTCTGCACTGTGGTCGGTGCAAGCGTGTGGTCGGCGAATTCGTGTTAACTGGGATTCGAACCCAGTTCGCCTCATTGGAAGGCGAACGCTCTATCCCCTGAGCCATCGCGGCTTCCTAGTCTATTATAAAACTGAAAGATTTGCTACTGGACCAGAATAGTCTGGTTGGTTGGGCGTTGCGCGTATGTCCAAGAGGTCGTGAGTTCGATTCCCACCGGGTAGAAGACTACCGGTGTAGTAAATGATGACCAGTGCGCTCTAAATCTGTCGGGTCACAAAGTCCTCCAGTTCCCATAGCAAATCAATACCTCTGGGGGTACTGAATTTGATATTGATCTATGTCTGGTTCAGGTCAAAATTACGATCTGTTGATGAATGAATGGGCCCGCCCTTTGAAAGGGACTTTTACGTGTGTGGCTGAAGTCGTATTCTTAGCCATAGATGGTGTCACTGAAAAACAAGAAACGTACTCTCAACCTTAAATTTGCTTGGTTTTCAGCAAGCAGGCTTGCTGGTCTTGGCAAGTAGCATTAGAAACAACCACAGATTTGCTACTTTATAAAATAGTGAATGAGTTATAACCTATGACCTTAAAGTAAGAATTAATTAAGACATTCAGTTAATTTTTTCCTACTTATTTATGAGTTATTGACTCAATTAAAAAATATAACCATAAATTATTTTTATATTTTTATTATTACTTAAGCTCTTCACACCGTTTGGTGCAATAGGCGTCCAGCCTCCTCCATGCTCCCAGTTCTTCGGCTTGGGCTTTAATCCTTTAAATTTGAAAATTATATAATAAAAAAGAATTTAGAATTTATTCTTTATTTTTGGATCGATGTATTGAACTCGTTATGATTGCATAAATGTTGATTATCGTAAACTATAGAAACAAAAGATAGCTTTATGTAGTTTATTAAGCTAGCTTATATTTTCGATTTAATTTTATCTATTATAATGATCTCTAGTCACGTCAGTTTAAATCACATAATCAATGAATAATACTTTATAAATGATCATTTATAAAAGAATCATTCATTAAATCATAAAATCCCTTAAATATGATGGTTATATTATTACTATTCCTATTTTTACCTGGTATTGATTGAGAAAACGTTTATGCAATTATATTGTTAAAATTCACTGATTTCGGCTTAGAAATAAATAAGTATTTTCAATTATTTAAATCATATAAAATATGTATGATAATTTTGATAGAATGATATATATTTGAAAATAATAACACAACTACTTAACGGATACCGGCTCACATATACAGTGTTATACACAGATACGCACAATTTAAAGCATTTATAGACATTATTTTTAAGATAAAATAAAGTTAAAATTTTACTATAAATAAATATTTTGCGCATGTTTACGAAGCTAATTCTAATTTTATTGCTTATAAAATAATTACGGAACTATTCCGTTAATGGCGTCAGCAAAAAATTCACGAAAAGGGATTAGCAAATTCGGGACTACAAAGGCGGCCTTTTACTTCAACGATCAGTATAGAGAATGCCTGGAGGCAGCTGCACTTAACCTTAAAAAAAACAGTGTTGAGTATACCGAACAATCTTATAACGGGCAGTGACATTTAACTTTAAAAAAAAGAAGAAAAATATTATTATAAGGTAAACCAGGCAATGACACTCACACCCCTTATAATTTTTTTAAAATTTTATCACCGGCGTTGACAGACCATCCAGTGAGTTTACGACTCTCAATGATCAACGCCGTAGCCTTGTAATTTTTAACCCAACCCAGAAGACAAGGGAACTCCAGAATAAAAGCGTTGAAGCAAACCACACCTCATGGAGGTCTTTTTGATGGAACTAACCCGCATTAACGGAAAGGAAAACCACGAAAACCTCCGACTGTTATCCCAACGGCATGAGGAATCTAAATCAAAATCTGTTTACCACTGATACTAGTATTTCACGTCAATACTGTGGTCAGTGCTCTGGGTCACTTCATTATGAGGCAAATGCTCTATTCCTTGAGCCACTGCGGCTCCCAACGTCCCTTTATTAATCTTATTAAAAATAATTAACCGTGATTCTGATTTTTTGATTATTATGTTTTATGTTTAATTTGGCAAAATAAAATTTAATCATCGGCAACGGCCGCCTTTAACTAAAGAGCCCCATTTCTGATTAATTAATTTCTTGTTGAATAATAACTGACTTAAAATCGAGTTATTGATATAATTTTCGTACAGTATCGGAAAAGAGTCGTTCAAATTTCAGCAGCTAAATGACTATAATATAAATGTCGATGTTAAACCGGTTCAAATTTATGAAATAAAAGTTACAATTAACAATATAAAATGAAGTACTGAAGTCTCAAGGAAAATGTTTCATGACTTTTCCTCATAATAAAATTTTAGAGTCCGTATGAGCACACTATATGCAGAGAAGCCTAGTCTTGAAAATTATTAAAAATAGAAGTTAGTTTAGTTTTAAGTAAAAACTAAATAGTATATTTAATCATGAAATAGTTTAAAAATGAAAATATTCACGATGACATTGCATATTTTCTACCTTTTTATCACAAGTGTAATTTCAGGTGCGCATGTCACGTCTTTTTATAAGCATCTTAAATTAAGTGCATTTTTAAGAGCAGTGGTTTAACAGCATCTTATAAAGAATGTAATGCGAAAAAGAAAGAAACGGACCATCCAGAATAACTTTTGATTTTTTGATTTAGTTCGGATTTTCACGTTCTAGGACTCAATCTTAATGGCTCAAAGGGGTGACCTCAAATATGCTAATTAATACGAAGAGACGATATTTTAAGTTACGAAAACTAATACAAAAACGCACTTTCTCTGAATAAACATACCTTTTACTCAACGGATTCAGATTTCAGAACCCCAATGTTAGGGGGTAGCCGCAATCTGGGAAATATGGTCCCAATAGTTTGGTCAGAAATGCTGTCCTAAGTTTGGACCCCTTAATGTGAATTTTCTTTTTGCGTAGTTCGCTAGATCTCGAAAACTTTTTAAGTGAATTGAAATACTTTTACACATAATTATAAAATTCGTTTTTCCAAAGATAATTCCTTGCAAAAAGTAACTGTTAATAAATACTTATTATTTGTTAACATTTTACTTAAAAATAATCAAAAAATCTTGAGTTGTAAGGAAAACAATTTTTAGCATCTTTTTAAAGAATGTAATTTTACGTAGCAAAATACAAAATTTGTGCGAAATCGGTTAAATAGTTCCACAGAAATTGAATTTCAAAGAAGTCAGGCATTTAAAATTCGATTTCTCAGGAGCTATTCAGCCAATTTTGCTCAAATTTTGTTTTTTACCACGTAAAATTATATTCTTTAAAGTTATGCAGGAAATTGTATAATTTCCAATTCAGAATTTTTCCACCATTATTAAATAAAGTGATAAAAAATAATAAATATTTACTAAAAGTTATTTCTTGCATGGGATTATCTTTGCATAATCGAATTTTTAAATTGTGTATAAATTTTTTTTAAATTCGATTAAAAAGTTCTCGAGATATAGCGAAGTACACAAAAAGTAAAATTAACATTAAGGGGTCCAAACTTTGGAACGCTCTCTTGACCCAACTATTGATACCATATTTTCCAGATTGTGGATACCCCCTACATTTTCAGGTTTAGAAATCAAAACCCGTTATAAAAAAAAGTACGGTTTATTCAGAGAAAGTACGTTTTTTTAGGTGCCTGATTTCGTATCTTAAAATATCGTTTTCAGTCTGATTATTAGATCAAAAGTTAGATCAAAAAGGCCCGTTTTTCTGGCGGACTGTACAGCACCATCTATTACTCAACTTTTGAACCATTTTTTTTCTGGAGTTAAGAGAAATTCACATTGCTTCACGTTAACACTCAGATGAAATATCAGCTTGCTCTGACAAGTGTTTTTTTCCCCGTCGAAAGTGAAACTTTAAGTTCCGTAATCATCCCCTTTTTCTTGGCTTTACGTATCAAGTTATCAAATTGTTTTAGAAACAAACATGGTTCTTTCTTTTTCAGAAAGCTGCAATTCACCTTTGGGACTATCATCAGACTTGGCAGACAACCTTATCACTTCGAAAGTTGAGAAAGATTCTGCTCCTTCCGCTGGACGGTTGGGCAATGCAGAGGGTGCATGGTGCTTCACGAACGATTCAATATCCTCCGGGACAGCTGTTTTGATGATTCAGTTTTCTAAGCAACAGTTTGTCAGTGGATTTGCTTCTCAAGGGCCACCAGAAAAAATACAGCCCAAAAGTTATAATCACCTAGTAGGTTTTTCAATAGCATATAGTTTAGACTCTAACAAATGGAACGATCCTAACGATGGTTCTTTAGTAAGTAATGCATACATCTTTTGCTGATTTTAATTGAAATTTGATTATTTTTTGAAATTTTGTTTGCACAGTGAAACTTCACCTTAACAGATAATCCTCAAGGACAGACATCTTCGCAATAACTCCTTTTCAAACTCCTTGCATTCAAACGCCGCATTTCAAACTCCTTGTGAGTCATTTATGATGTACCATCTTTTTAGGGTAGACACTTTTATAACTGGACATAAATTTTTGTTTAAAAACGCTCACTCAAATCTTTACAATCCAAACCCCCATTATTCAAATAATTATTTGCTTATAATTTTTAAAAGATAAATTTGTGAGTTTTTTTTTAATGACGAAACAACGGATTAAGAAAAGAAGCAAATTTTCATTCGGATATAGGAACATAAAAAATAGTGCTAAGCTGACATTTATTTTAGGGTTTTAACTATAGTGATTGATTGCTTTATTGAGATTTCTAAATTGCATCTACCGTGTTTTTCAAAAGTTTAGTGGAGCAGATGCCTTGCACGCAGATATTGCCCCATCATTTGTGCTACGTATCTCATCAGGGTGGCATTTCATACTATAATTAGAATTATGAGCTATTTATTCAACAGTAACTCATTCATTACCTTTCAAATAATGGTTCTAATGAGATTGTTTGATTGTTAATATATGACTTAAGATGTATTGCGTTACTAACATTGAACTCTAAATGAGGAGAAAAAACGATTTTTGTTAGATTTTTGCGGTAGTTCTATTTGTTAAAATTTTTTATTATTTTTATAACCGTCGTTGAACAGCCGACCCAATTTTATGGGCATACGACTACTAATGTTCTACTCCGTAGCCTTGTAATTTTGAACCCAATCCAGAAGACAAGGGAACTCCTGGATCGAGTATTGGGAGAAATTTGCCTTCGTGGAGGATTTTTTGATGGAGCTAATCTGCATTTGCTTTACATGGAGAGGAAGATCACGAGAACCTATCACGGTTAGCCTGGCGGCAAGGGGACTCTAACCCATGATCCGTCTACCATTGAGGATATTTCACGTCAGCACTGTGGTCGGCGCAAGCCGGATGCGGAATTCGTATCCACTGGGATTCGAAGCCGGTTCGCCGAATTAGTTCGAACGCTCTACCCCCTGAGCCATTGCGGATCGTGGTAGTTGTATTCAAAAGTTCTCGATGAAGGCGAGTGTGTATCAATGCCCGATTTCCTTGTCTTTTGGGTTATGTTCAAAATTACAACGGCAAAGTGGCCCATAAATATCAACATTTATATCCACAAATCTGATTTTCATCTGCTTTACAGCACGGGTTATAAACTAAAATAAAACTTTCTGCCTAACTTAACAAAAAATTTGTCGCACATTAAAGGAGACAAAATGTTTTGCTTATTCTGATTTGAGAATTATATAATGAAACAAATATATCGATCAAGTTTTCTTTTAACTTAAAGTTTTTTAACTATTTAAACTGTTTATAAATGATAGTTTATAGAATGATATGAGTCGCCAATAGTATCCTAGGAGTCGTCAATATCACCTTCATTTCTTATAGCGACGATAATTGGCGCGGAAGCTTTTGCATATTGAAATGCAAAAAAAAAAAAAAAAAAAAAAAAAAAAAAAAAAAAAAAAAAAAAAAAAAAAAAAAAAANAAAAAAAAAAAAAAATGTGATGTAAATAATTATTTTGCTTAGCTATGTCATAATATCAAAGGCTATAGGCATGAAATTATTGAACAATAATACGTCTGTGCAATGGCGGTGAAGTGTTGTTATCCATATATTGATTGATTTCGTATTCAAAGAAATTGTATTTGACATTTTCTTCTTTTTCTAGTTTTTCAACTCAGACAAGAATGAAACAAGTGACGCAATAACCTATCACACAAACAATTTAATAGAGTTGGCACGATACGTAAAAATAAATGTCACTATGCTAGTATCAGGATCAACAAATATTTGCTTGCGTTTTGAAATTTATGGTTGTCAGACAGGTGAGTACAACAGAGGCTCAAAACAATTTTTTATTATCAGCTGTGCAATAAAGAAAATCAGTAATGAATCGGTTATAAATAAAATATAATCGGTTATAAATAATCAATAAAATCAGTTTGGTGGTAAAACAAATTTATTGCATAGTATATAATAGGAATTGCGAAAAATTGGATTATGAAAAAAAATTGCTGAAGTTTTGAATTTTAAAGTAGCAATGAAAAAATTTAAAAAAGAATTAGGAATGTGCATGAAATTTAAATAAAAAATTGCCACTTGATATATACCTAATTAAAATTAAAAAAGCGATAGCTAATATGCACAATGCTCAGAAAAAAAATAAAAAAAAATAAAAAAAACGAAACACCCTAGATAGTTTTTGGTTCAATGATTACAGTTTTACGTACTAGGACTCAAATTTAATGGTTCACGGAGTGACCTCAAATATATAAATTAACTTGTGCAGATGATATTTTAAGTTACGAAGTCAGACACGAAAGTGTACATCTTCTGAAAAAACATACCTTTTTTAACCGAATTTGAATTTTTTACCTGCAAAATATTATGTATGCGGTTGCCGCCATTTGGGAAATATAGTCTCAATAGTTTGGTCAAAACGTTTCGACATTTTAATGATAATTTTACTTGTGTATTTCGCTATATATCGAGAACTTATTGAGTGATTTAAAAACATTTTGCGCGCAATTATAAAATTCATTTATCCAAAGATGTAAAAAATAATTTTTAATAATTTTTTAATTTATTATTTTATTTATTATTTTTTAATTTTCAATCGTAATTAGTATGGTAAATTTAAAAATGGAAATTTTTATCTTAATGACGTAATCTCAATGACGCTCTACGGCCGTCTTGTTGAGTTCGATAAATGAGGAATAAACCGACTTTAGTTCCGAAATGTACGTTAAACGACGCATGAGCAGGGAAGGAAACTGGAATGCTCCTTTGCTTTAATTTTTTAAAAAAAATGTAAAACAAATTGGTGAGAGTAACCTAATAGATAGGTTCTTTTTTTTTTTTTTTTTTTTTTTTTTTTTTTTTTTTTTTTTTTNTTTTTTTTTTTGTAAATATTGAACAAGTGATTTTTTCCCCTTAGATTTGAGCGTGATTCTTGAGCTATCAAACATTTTGCTCCTTATTTTATTCTTGTAGATATTAAGCAATATGGCAATCATTACCCCAATTGGTTTACCTTTTTTTTTGGAAAATCTAAGTCTACAATAAAGTATTGGGGTTCCTATTTAATATTTTGTACTTTCCCTCACCGTCCTACTCAAAAGAATGATAGTGTGGTATTAATTTGTATATCATTGAAAACAACTCTTGGAAATATTTCGCACGTGTTCTTTTAGATTTTACAATCAAAAACCAATCTTTTTCATACTTTTAGAATACGCTGTATATTTTCTAAGGCACATAACAGCATGACGACAAGGTCTATTTTTTGCTATGTATGGATAAAACCCTAGCAACAATTATACATTGGCCCCAGTTGGGCTCAAAATTGGCTCAATATGGGTCCTGGAATGGAACAGGCACAGAGGGACCAATATTAGGTTGTCTATATTTTTTTTAATATTGGTCCTATGCAGTGTCAATATCGGCCTATATAAAGCCTATATAGGGCTTGTATTGGCTGAATAATGATTCTGAAAAATTGGGTGAATCTGTCAATTCTATATAGGGCCGATATTAGTTGTAAAGTGGCAGTAAAATATCGGGTCAATAGGACAATTCTATATAGGGTCCATATCGGAAAAAATATCGGCCCTTTGAACCCTTATTGAGCCAAGACTCGAGAATATTTGTCCAATGATTACCTAAGTTATTTTGATGCTATGGAAGAAAACAACATGAATAAAGCACCATTAAAGGAACAGAAAAGGGCAATTTGTAGTATGTCTGTAACTTCTTTTGTGCTTTATTCACATTGTTTTTCTTTATTTCCTTGAATATAGTTTAAACTTTTATTGAGCATTTTCAAAACTCTGTTACAAAAAGGTATGTGGTTAACTGGTTTCTCCAAAAAACAGATTTTCAACCTCAGTCTGCCGTACAAGCCATTACGACACCAAAAGGAAAGATTGAAGTGATCTGGAATCAGCCCTATGCCACGACTACTTTGGAGCTTGATTCTCCAGCAACAGGAGTTTTCAGACCAAACGGATATGTTGTACAGTACAGACCTTTCAACTCACAGACTTTCGCGTCAGCAGCAACGTCAGCTTTATTTCTGTCGCTCGAAGATGTCCGCCTCGGAGCTAAGTACTTCATAAAACTTCAGTGCCTTATTAGTGATTTCACCTTATCATGCGGAGAGACTGAAATAGAAGCTTGTAAGTATACTTTTATTTACTAAATCGCATTATGTTAATGTGTAAATTTTTTGCTTGTATTCAAGCAAGGAAAATAACTTAGTTAACGTATAACTCTTTGGCAGATATAAAAAAAACGAGAAAAAAAATTCCTGTTTAGAGGTATATATACTCACGAATAGTCTTAAAACCATTATCCAGCGTTCTTGGAGATGGATACAGTGATAGAATTTCGAAATTTTCATCAGATATCAGCGCTTTTATTTTCACATCGGAAAGTAAATCTTACAATAAAAACAAATTTTAATGAAGTAAATATAGCATTTTTAGCAGGAATAGGAGCTACACTAGTCAGTGAAAAAGATGCAGCATATAAAGTACTAATTTTCATCTTTCTTCTCGTTGTTTTCGAAACGAGTTTAGTAGAACTTAATAACTGATGCGTTGAAAATGTATACAAAAGAGTCATTACTTAGCGTCACAGTTTTTAAGGCTAAAAATAACGTTTCAGCTTTTTTCTGCTGTAAAGGTTACCTTCTAATAAAACAAAATAGATGTTACCAGTTGAGAGTATTAAAATTCTGTCAATGTATCCGTAACCATTAGAGCTAAATAAATATTATTAACACCATTTTTCTGAGCACAAACCTTACAATACCCTTTATTTTATTCCATTCTTCTGAATCGTAAGCTCACATGGGGGGCCACATTTTGGAAAAGTTCGCTCTGTTTTGTGTAGATAATCAGGTAGAATAAATAGAACGCATAAACGCACAAGCAGATAATCAGACACAGATACAGACAATCGTTTTGATGATACAAGAAGTACCACTATCAATGCTAAGACTAAAAATGAAGGTAAGAACAAAAATAGTAAAGTATCAATTGAGCCTACAAAAGAGCTTTAATGCGAGAAACAATTGTCCATTGATGAGACAGGGGACAAGACCAGAACAAGTATAGTAATGACTAACTGAAAGATTAGAAAAAAATTTAAAGGTAGAGTGAGAGAAGAAGATCGAACAAACTGAAAATACAAATCAAACCGACTTGTTTGAATGATTGTAAGAAAATAATGGTCAATTTTCTACGTAAAATTCGTATCGTAACAAACAATTGATTTTGTAGTATTTCTTTACTCCTAGTCCTTTTACTGAAGATGGTACTTGATATAATGCTAATATTATAGAATGTTCAGTTTATTACAATTTAGGCTCATAAGGGTAAATTTTTTACATTTTCAATTACAGCAGCAGAAATATATTGTTAATTTTTTGTTATTAAGAAATAAAAATAAAACATTACTTACTCATTTGAATCATTCAGGATTAAATAGATGATTAATTTACTTCAGAAACTCAAAAAGTTAATATGTTTGGTAATCAACCTTTCTTCATATCGTATGAATCGATTTTTCAAAAGTAAATGCACAATAGGGAGTAGAAATTTTCCTTAAGTAGGTTAATGTGTATTATATTTTAATAAATATTTTAAACTTCATTGTTTTTCTTTAGAAAACTCGCAGCTGTGTTTTCTTCGATTTCACAACAACGAACCAACTGTAACACATGAGATTTCCTTTTTAACTACTTAAATTATCTACAATCTGAAAATCAATTCAAAGCTTAGAGGTGTGATGCTTGCAGAGATAGACCTCTTTAAATTTGAATATTTTTTTCAAGGAAAATAAAAAAATTCCATTTTAAATTTAGTTATTTTTCAATACTGACTAAAAAATGAATTCTGTGGCAAAGTTTGACATCATGATAACTGAAACAGTTAAATGAGACTCTGAGATACAATATTTTAATTCTCAACTGTTGCTACGTCATTTCGTTTTGAAAATGGCATCTTTGCTTGAGAGTTTTTAAGTTACCACATACAAGAAGCAGTGGTTCTTAAAATTGATCCCTTTGTATAGGTCCCTTTGTTGTAATAGTGGTTTCTTTGTATTTCCTCGTTTCTTGAATTTTTCATGGCTGCATCAACCCAGATCAATATATCAAAAAATTAAGAAGACCCTAACTTTTTAAATATTCAAAAATCTTTGGAATAATTTAACGGGAATATTTATGTCTTACAATATTCCGGACAGGATTTTAAAGCAAAATAATCCTATGCTTCAGAAAAAAGTAATCATTACAAAAATGCAGTTATTCATTTTATTTGATACATAAAATCAAATATTTCGCAACTTAAAGTGCAATAGATACAAGTCTTATTGCCAACACACCTTCAAATTTAATGTGGTGAATTTTAGATCCGCCATGCCCCGAAGATTGGACTGGTGGTAACGAGTATCACTGTTTCTTGTACCTGAATGATGTGTCAAACTTTCTGGAAGCGAGAAGTACATGTTTGAATAATAACGTTGACGATAAATTGGGAAAATTAGGTGCCTTTGTGGATGAAGACGAAAAAAAGTTTTTAGCCGAACGAATTCTTCCAAAAGAAGTAAAACGGATTTGGTTCATTAGAGATAAATGTCAAGAAAGTGGTAAGTGAGAAATAAATCATTTTATTTCATTTTTGTTCAATTGTGACTTTAATATCCTAACACTATAGTGTCTTAGAAAATAGGCAATTTCAATATTTCTTCATATAGCGTGTTCTGTAATTCCTATATTTTTAGAATCTTTTTCGAAAAATAATTTCAAGCACTCACAAAATAGGCTGTCATTTTTAAGACTGGGCGCGAATATGAAGAAACAAAAGTAATTCGAAACATAAAACGTAAAGTTGCCAACGAAAAATAAAAAAATGTAAGTGTGAAACAAAATTAGAAAAACCTTAGTAGCTTAGAGAGAAAAAAGATGAACGACAGAAAAAAAAAGAAAAGTTCTTAATAACCTGGAATATTGTTTTATTCATATGAATGCTGATTCTCTTGTTAATGACATTAGTTTCTCTCCAGCTCTTATGCATTTACCTTGACATAATGAAATGCATTTTACCTTGATTTGCCCCTTTCGGCCATTGTGGTCAAATTATCAAGTAATAACTGTAAAACTAGTCATGAGCAATACTCTTAATTGTGATGTTGGAGATTTCATAGTAACTTAAGCAACTATAAAGTTAAAACTTAATCATAAATTTTTTGGTAACGGTGGTTGAGGAGATGAATCTTCAAAAATTCACTACAATCTTCGGAAAAATATCTTTCAGACTTATTGTTTCCGAAACTAATAAAATGAAAAGCAATAAGGTTTAAAGATTGTCTACATTCAAAATGTTAGATTTGAAGAGCATTCAAAAGGAATACCTTTAAAGTTGTTTCTAAAATTATTAGTAAAAAACTATAGCTGAGAGCAAAATTATGACAGCAGCAGGTTGATGTTACTTCGAATTATACTAACCCTTAGACGCAGAATTTTGATTAAACATATTTTTTCATACTTTTTTCATTATTTTGCATTAATTTAGGTCAAAATAAGTGAGAAATATTATATTTAGCATTTTATTAATTTATGGTCATGAAAAAACCGATGTCTTTTTTTTGCTTTAAGGGTGAAGTTATTCAAACACTGCTCACTTCCAGATAACAATTTTTCAAAATTATGCTTACTTGCAGTTAGTTAGATCTCAGAGAAACCACTGAAGTTTCTTTAATTTATGATGTAAATTGTTGATAAATTTTTGAATGTGACTGAAAAAAAATTCAAACAACATTATTTTTGGATTTCACACTTTAGTTCAAATACAATTCCAAACTATTAGACTGTTTTTTATAACTGAAAATACTAATATATATTTTTGCTTGCAATTAGAGTGCCAGAAAAAAATATAAGAAAGGGGCACTGGTGTCCCATTTGCGATTGGGAATTGATTATAAGGGCACGTAATCCACATACAATTTCAGAAGTTATTGGACCGGTCTTGTAAATTAAGAGCTGCCCATAGTAGATAAAATTGAATCCGTTCATATAAATCAAACCAATTATATTTTTCCTAAAATAATGCGTCCCTCTAACATTTTTACACAAAAATTAGTATTTTAGTTCAAAGAATGCAAGTTTTCATCTCCTGGTGCATTTATTTTAACAAAATTTTAATCCAGTGGAATTTTTTCGTCAGTATAGAACAAAATTCGCCCTTCTAATTGAAATGAAATTATATTTTTGCATATTTTTCTTAAATGTCAACTCTGAGTGGCATGACGAAGCGGTAAATATGTAGTAACGTAATTTGCACAAATAAAAGCTAAAAAAAAACTTGTTAATAGCGAAAGTGTGTGTACACATTATGCCATTAATGTCGTATTATGAAATGCCACTTTTTGTATATTTACTTCCTAAAGATAATAACAGCAAAATTAAATACATCAAGTACCGTAGAGTTTCTATTTTAGAACAATTAGAACGTAACACCGACCAAAAACACATCGTTTCAATGTCATTTTTAAGATATACACCATTTAATAATGAAAATATGATTGGCGTACTCTATAGGTACAAGCATTTTTCTCTGAATAAATTTTTTCACCATACTTTTTTGTGCAATCAGTTGCGTCTCTGCGCTATTCTGTAGTTTTAAACTTTAAATGCAAAATACTGCAATCTACTTTAAAATACTTTCAACACCGAAAAGATTTGTTTTTAATTATATAAGACATAGTAGTAAATGATTTTTCAGAGGATTGTTGTTATATTCTAATGAAAGAAGGCGAAAACATTAAGGAAATTGAATGTGCTGGAACAGAGCTCACTTCTGCTGTATGCCTGAGAGATCACAAAGGTAAACTTTTGAGTTTCCTTTAACTTTGTTTTTTCGTATTTATTACGTTTATTTTTTGTGTAGCTCACCTAATTATGACAGCTGCTTAAAAATTGAAATCAGTAAGATATCATTTAAAAAATCGCTGGAAAAATCAAACAAAAATATTCAAATAAAAATATCCCACAGATTAATAATACATTGTATCCATAATCAACTCCGGTATTAATGGTAGATAGGTACTTTATTTACATCACTCCTAGAGCTGCATAATGAGCTATTGGAGATGGTCTGGGAAACATCCCTGAATAATCCGAAGGCATGTCATCGCAATTTGATTCTCTGCAGAAAGGATCACATTTGCAAGTCGCTTCTCCAATTTAGACATAGATATAAAGGGGTAGGAAATTTTCTCCAGATCCCTGTACTCATGGTACTGCTCAGCTACCGACCACAGGACTTTCGAATCCACAGATTTTACGATCGAAACCAGTCCCCTCCTGACCGTAGTCCGATTGTCTAACCACTGGGCTACCACGGCTCTCAGTATTATTGATAAGTTTGTTTCAGGCAACATAATTTCATGAAAATTGGATAGTAATTTGATAAATTAATGAGAGTTCAATATTAAAAGAATTAACTTGTTTATAATGTGCATTAGTAAACTTTTCTTTTGGAAATTTTATGTAAGATTGTCTACACTAGCCTCCATGTCTCAACACATTTGAAAAAAAATTGTATGCATAAAACATAAAGTACATCAAAAAAGGTGAATTTTTTTCTTGCTAAAAATGCCAAAATGAGAAAAAAAAGAGAAAAGAAACTACATAACTGAAGTGTACCACTACATAACAGTTAAAATTTTAACAGCATTTATTTTATAAAAGAAATCAGGGATGTCATGAGGGTTAAGGGACTATGCTGTCAATGTGAAATACCGGGGTCCTATCCCCAACAATGGTTTGAAGATTTCTCACCTATTACCAGATTGCTTGAATAGCAACTGTGGTTGACCTTAGTACCACCATCTTGCCATTAAATTAAATTTCCTTATTTCCCTTGCCCAGCAACTGGCTGCAATCAGACAACTTCACTTGTTGTTTTTATAAAGAAACAAATAATATATCCCAGATTTTGTAAACATTGTGACTTTTTAGGTGAAGGTGCTCGTCTTTGGGTGTCCTCCGCTGAAGCATCCAATGATGGACAAGCTGTGAAAGTAGGTTGGCGTTACGAAGGCACTGGGTGGAAAACAGACAAGCTTCAAGCCAAAGTTTGGTCAAAAACTATCTCAAGAACTCTTACATTTTCTACATTAGAACCAACTTTCACCATAGATGAATTGAAACCAGGAATGCAATATTCCTTAACCTTAAAACCAGCTCCAAACATTAGAACTGAAGAATACATTCATAAATTTATCATAAGTAAGATTAATGGTGCAACACAAGAAAAGCAATGTTTTGAAAAAGTTGCTTTTATTTTTAGCATTGAAGTTGCTTTTTTATTTTATTTTATCTTTCTTTAATTTATATGCTCAATAAATGCTTTATATTTGTATTTTTCTTGAAAGTTTTCTTGAATTATGAATTTTTATTAACAAAAATTAACAATTAATAACTATTAAAATTATAAATTATAAATTTTTTATTATCATTAAAATAGGTGAAAATTTATTTTTTTCTATGTGCCATGTACCATGAATATCGATAAACAAAAGTCACACTATTGCAAATTTGCTATAATAAGCGGTGGACTGAGCTTTTAGCTGTAATCCGAAATTCATCCTCAGTAATAATCTTCATCACTTCTCTACCACCCAACCACACGTAAACTCTTCTGGTTTTGCAGAGTCTTTTCCGTCAGTTTCATTATAATAGAAAGGATTACAAACCACACTGACAAGGTCGAAGTGCAATCTGATCAAAAAGCAAGTCTCTAGTTCGGAAAATTAAACCTCTGGCTTAAGTTGTGGAAGGCGAAAACTCCACCCATATTAGCTGGGAGGGTGAAACCGTTTTGAAAAGCTTAAGGGACCCTTTGTAAACACTCAATTTTTTAGGTTTAAGAGTTTTGGATGGCTGGTCGATACGAATTCCGCATTCAGTTCACACCGACCACTGTGCTGACGTAAAATATCCTCAGTGGTAGATGGATCATGGGTTAGAATGCCCTTACCGTCAGGCTAACCGTGGGAGGATCTCGAGGTTTTCCTCTTCATGTAAAGCAAATACGTGTTAGTTCTATCAAAAACTCCTCCACGAAAGCAAATTTCTCCCAATACTTGATCCAGTTCCCTCCAGGAGTTCCCTTGTTTTCTGGATACGGCTCAAAATTACAAGGCTACGGAGTTGAACTCTAGTAGTCGCAAACCAAAACTTGAGTCGGCTGTTCACCGACGCTTATAAAGTAAAATGAAATAAAATTTCAAGAATGGGAGCCATGGTAGCTCAGGGAATAGAGTGTTCGCCTTCCAATGAGGTGAATCCCAGCGAAAGCTGGATGACACGAATTCTGCACCCGACTTGCACCGACCACAGTGCTGGCGTAAAATATTCTCAGTGGTAGACGGATCATGGTTTAGAATCCTCCTGCTTTCAGACTAACCGCGAAAGATTTTCGTAAATTTCCTCTCCATGTAACGCAAATGCGGATTAGTTCCATAAAAAAGTTCTCCACGAAGTCAAATTTCTCCCAATACTTGATCCAGATGCTCTCTTGTCTTCTGAATTACATTGACTATTAGATTATTTAATTCAAAATTACAAGGCTACGGAGTTGAACATTAATAGTCGTAAATTTAAAATTCGGTCAGCTGTTCAACGGCGGTTAAAAATAAAAAGAAAAGAAAATTCCAAGAATTATTATTATTAATCTATCTTGTAAATTTTTAGATCAAGTGGTTGTTAGTAGAAGAAGTTAGAGTTTCTTGTTTTTTCAATCTAGCATTGTATTTCATTCATATAATTTGGAATAGTAAATAATAATAAAGTTTATGTGATTTGGAATTTCTCGCATTAAAATTCAAGATCATTTCAAACTTGGGTCATAGTAAGTGTGTTTGTTTGAATTATAAGTATTAATTTGCTGTAAAGGCAATTTAAAATCAGGAAAATAGAGATAATTTAAATATTTGGATGCAGTATTTACATTCCGTTTTCCAGAGTATATTCTTTTTTCAAATTTATTGAGTATAAATTGTATAAGCTATAAATATTACCTATATTAATTTTTTTAGTTGACTTCTCAGAAGAATCAGGAAGATTTGGTGAGTGCAAAAACATTATTTTTGATACTATCTTATTTACCATAACTATTTTTAAACAAATAATAAACTATATAATAATAACCTTTTAATTATCTATTATTAATTTTAAATAATTCAGGAATTCCGATGATAAGCACTTAAGCTAGTTTTTCTGAATATTTAAATTTAAAAAAAAACTAACGTTTATAAGCATTATATTTTTTTCAAAAAAAAAGCTTTTAGAAAAAATAATTTAAAGAAAAGCCTTTTTCTTTGGAAAATATAATTGATTTACTACATGATAAAATGCGGTGATATGTATATTATTTCTTAAAGTTTATTTTCTAATACAAATTTTAATAAAAAAAATCATTTCAAAGTGCTAATCTTTATTATTTGAAAATTTTTTAAATATAAAAATCTATAAGTGAACCAAGTGCGCACTTAAATGTAGAATATTTCGAAGGGTGAAATAATTGATTTGTCTTGTGAGCAGTGCATGGATCAGCGTTAAAAAATAATTTCTATAGCATTTTAAAATAGAGAAATAGCCCATTTAGTTCGCAATATATCTTTATTATAGCAAGAGCCTGTGAACGCCAGCCCTACGTCACAGTATAAAGGTTGCACATTTTTTGACGTATGTACACGAAGGCGAGTAAGAGCGGTTGGCTATTATTAACCTTAAGTCGCTGTGACTTTTAGCGGGTAATTGGCCCAATAAACGGATGTGACGTATGGATTTGGCAGAAGTTTAGTTCTTGGTCATAGATGGCGCCACTGGAAAACAAGAACAATCATACCTCTAATGCCTAAATGGCCTACGACAACAACAGTTAGAAAATAAAAAATAGCCCATTAAAAAATAGCCAATAAAAAATAGCCTTAAAATATTCATGAGGTTAAAGAACGAAGCCAGCCTCCAAGAAACCTATCATACGATACGGTAGTTTATTATGTTAAGACTCAATAATTATTTAACGAAGTTAATAATTATTGACTCTTCCAAATTCGCCTCGATATTTTTTCCGAGTTGACAAAATATTAAAAATAGATAAATTTAATAAATCTTTAAAAATATTTTTGCTTTGTTCGAATTTTATTTTAGCAACCACATCAAAAAAATATAATTCCTAAACTTCTATTTCAGGAGCATTCTTAACTCCACTCTCAGTGTCAGTGTTCGTCATCTGGTCTGGAACTTTAAAAATCGCGTGGGAATCAGCCAAAGCTTACTCAGTTTCAGGAGATGTGAAAGATGCTTCAAAATATTCTATTTCGCATCGTTCTTCTTCTGCAGATTCCGAAGAAAGGGAGGTGACAGTGGATGATGGTTTAGAATTTTTGTTAACGCCATTAGAAATGGAGATTACATACACCTTTGAACTAAAGTGTCATTTTATGGATACTTTTTATCCTTGCGGCAGCGCAAGTGTGAAAACAGGTATGGAAAACTTCCGATTAAATATCGTACAATTATTGAAAAAAAAGATATGATTCTAAAAGTTTTATTTCCGCTTACTAAGTACAGTAAGCCCGTCTTCCAAAAAATGTATATATATATATACTATTGATTGGAAAAGACGGGCCCCGTCTCCCCAAGACAGCATGCGGCACCATAACATCGTTTAAGTGTAAAATTTCTGCAGCCATTTTAGAAAGGATGAAACATAAATGCAAATAATTACTTCGTAAAGAAAATTTCATCTCTATAAAATTACAAAATTGGGTATAATATAGCCTACGTCACAGGTTGTGTTGTTCCTACTAAATTTAACCCATGAACGGCATTTTCTGCGAGCCTAACTTCAAGCCACAAATAAACAAACGAAGTGTTCGATCGTTTAAATAGCTGCTCGCCAGATTTTATTGCATTATAAAGAAAAGTTATTGAAACTAAATACAACTAAATAAACAACAACAACTAAAACAAATAACAACAACTACTAATAACAATAACTAAATAAATAACAACTAAATTCCATTCGTTTAGCATTGCGTCATATGTTGTTCCTACTAAATCGAAGTAGTTGTGTTTTTTTCATATTATACCCAATTATTCAAAATCAATACTTTAACGTATAAAGAACTATTCAACATTTCATATTTAAATTATCTGTTAAGTCAACCTAATAAATTAAATAATAAATTTAGTGTTGTCAATAGATAGAGAAATATCAAAGTTTATAGTGCCATTACGATTAGTACGATTTTCAATACGATGAAATAGGAATTATATGAACAGCTGAAAATTCTTTTCTCCATGATATAATTCAAACTTTTTTACCTTCTTTTTCTAGAACAGTAGACAAGACTTAGTTTTCAACTAAAACGATGTCTTGACTTTTTCTATTGCAGATTCACTACACTTATTCACCAAAAGAGTCAGCCGGAATCAGTCAACCCCAAAAGCAGTTCAAAAAATGTGGCGCGAGCTTTTTAAATTTATCTTGCTTATAATTGCTTATGCTCGCCTAATTTTTAATGACTCTTGCACTACAGAGTTTAAGATTAACTTTTCAAATGAAAAATTCCTCTTACAGATCCGCCGAAGCATCTCATCCGTCAACCGTCGGGTTCCTATATAATTTATGAAGCCATCCTCGATTCAAAAAAAGATTGGTCAGAGGCCGAAGAAGATTGTCAGAGAAGGTCAGGGCACTTAGCAAGTCTCATGACAGATGCAGAGGGCAAAACGTTGCTTCAAATGTTGCCTGATAAGAATATTAAAGTATGGACTGGTGCTAAATTAGGAAAGAAAGGTAACCAATTGAAAACTTCAAGCAAATAAGTGTACTATGAAACTTTTAATATTAAATTGCATTCAATAAAATTTGAGATGATGATATACATAGTTTTGAAGTTATAAGGGCTTTCCTCATTTTAAGTGGGTTTTTTTTTCTATTCTATTTATACAAAAAGAAAATCAACTTTTATAAAATTTTAGCTCGCTTGACAGTGTTTGGTCTCATTCGATTAAGGGATAAGAAATACAAAGAAAATAATGTCTCACTTGTCTGTATGGCAATGTAAGATGTGCAAATGAGTGTAAGTACAAAATTGTACATTTTGCATTCGAAACCCCTTATTCTGTCTTAACTATTTATCTTATCGATTCCTGATTTGTATCATTTACCTCATCATGAAAAATTATTTCGGACAATATACCTTACATATTCAGATAATCGCTGAACAAGAATGTAAAATGCTTTAAAAAAAGGGTTTTTTTACAAATAAATCTTTAGCAACTTTGAACTATTTGTTCGATTGACTTGTGTATAGTTTCATTTTTTCAGCGTAAAAAAATGCAAAGAAAATAATGTTTCACTTACTTAAATAGCAATTTCAAATGCGTCAACCGGTACAAAAACGAAATTGTATTTTTTGTATACAAAATGCTTATAACTTCTAAACTACGAGTTCCATCTTCGCGAGTTTAATGTCATTCAACGCAAAAAAAANCCTTATATTATTTTTCAGCAATGCACAGTGCACGATAAGAGAGAGAGAGAGAGAGAGAGAGAGAAAAGAAAAAAAAGAAAACGCCATTTGCTAAACTTAGCTATTCATTGAATAAATTTTGCAGTTACAGACAATCATAGTGATTGCATTATTTTATGTATTTGAAAGTTTATATGGACGTTTGATATAATTATCAGTACATTAAAACCTCGATATAACACGCACGACATATCACGAGATGTTCATTTTTACAACATATTTTCAAGAAGCAGTCAAAATTCTATTATTAAAGACAAAAAAATTTATGTTTATATAAAAATTGCTATCCTTCTGCTACTGCGGCAAAAAATACATTTCTCTGCTGTTTAAGGAAACAAAATTATACGAAATAAGAAAAAAAATGGTAGAAATTTTTATTTATTTCTGATATCAATACAGAAAATTTAAAAATGAACATCATTTCACCCTGTTTTCTTCCTCCAATGGTAATTGTTTCTATTAACAAAGCAAACTTTTTGTGGACAACCGCCAGTTCAGCTATCGTCCTCCTTGCAAAAGAAAAAAAATCTTTTGGCATTTTCAGGAATCCTGTCTTAAGCTTTAAATGGTTGTGCCTCTTGTTTTCAACCTGTTCAGAATGGCCCCTTCATACTAGCTTATTATGGAAATCAAAATTCAGTGTCACCAGTGACATACAAAACTATTATACACTATTGTACTCCAGTATTTTTTATTGCTATTTTAACATTAAACATGAGCATTTTGATAATAGTGACAAGATTGCTATTACGGCAATTGCTGTAATAACGGACGCTTACTGTGTGTAGTTTAAATGTAATGATTTCTTAATCCGTTAATTTTAGCCAGTGGGTCATGGACTGACGGCCAAAGAATCACCTACTTGCCAATGGCTAAAAATTCCGGAGTAACATCTGACTCTGAGTCTTGTTGTAAAGCTTTGAACGAAGCAGGAAAATTTCGATTAGCTGGAGGAGTGTGCAATGAAAGTCTTCCATATATTTGCAAATATTTATTGAAAGGTAAGAATTATAAAACCATCTTCCTGCTATTTTGATTTCAGGTGTGTATGAACAAAGACGTTGAACTTTAACCTGATCAGGACCAGCGAAAGGAGAATGAAACGTTGGTCCAGGAGCACAAGATCGGAGAGAACATAAGAACGAGGCTCGATTTTCAACATTAAGCCTAATTTCATTTAAAAACTCTTGAAAATAATTCGTGAAATCCAATACTCTGAAATTTACTGTTTAATAGTATTGATAGTGACTGTAAAATAACATGTAAGTATACTGTAATAAAATGTTCGTGGCATTTAAAAAATAATTTCAAAAGTGACCCTAACATACAAAATTCTATTTAACAAACAAATTATCCACACTTACTAAGCATTCATTATTTTTCCTCCTCCGTCAAAATGTATTAGCGAAAACCCAGAAAGCAGTAATTCATGTTTCCAATCCTCTGATCCTATCGACAGAATCAAACACGTGCAGTAGTTTACATGTTTAAATACACCGTATTAAAAAAAGGAAAAAATCGAGGCGCATATTGAAGGTCAACGCCTGTGAGACATTATTCAAAATTATAAGGGACATCCACCGCCATGTCCAGTGTCTTTTATAAATTTAAATAAATTAAAAATTGAATCATTCCGAATTGAAATCTCATCTGTGTGATCATGGGTAGCTGAGTCGGAAAGGCTCGTCTCATATATGATAGTGTGGGTCGTGTTAGCGTGACGCTTATATCGTAACGGAGGGGGAAGAACAATTATGTTCGCCTAAAACATAGGTTCCTTAGGTTTTGGTAATAGGTTCCAAGATAATAGTAAAAGCTATGCACTCAAAAACAAAATTGATGGAGCAATGGTACTATTTCATGTGGGAGAAATTTGAAAAATGCCATACTATTATTCTCGCCCATGATGCTTAATTATATTTTTTTAAAAGGCACTAATGACAGCATAGTAAATGGTACAGTTTTAATTGGTATTAAGCACTAAACGACACTGATAGCGTGCTTTTTACATTATAAATACTGTAAAATTGGTTTTTAAGTTCCCTCGAAGATATAAATACATATCGCTTGATTGTGGAAAATTTTAAATATCCGGAGTGGGCCTCTAGCAATTTATGCCAGATGATACTGAATACAGTTAATCTTTATTCTGATGGAAGGAACTGTTAAAAATTTGTTTTGCTAAGTCTAACAAGTTAAAGCCATCGGAAGAGGCAAAAAATGGTTATGAATAAATAAAAAGTTGTAATTATTTTAGCTTCATTAATTATGTCCTTATTTGTTAGTATTTTAGTTTCGCGCATGATTTTATAGTCTTGTTACCTGCTGATTTATTAATTATTTAATTTTTTTTCCCCGTACGGTGAACGGGTATCCAGCTAGTTACTAAATAAAGAATCAAGTTGTCGAGTAGAAACTTGACAATTTAATGGCTATTGGATGGTTAGAAAATTTAACTGTAGAGAGTGTGTTTAGATTCTGAACATGTTCTAATGGTTCCACGTCATAGAATAGAACTTAGCATGTGTAATCTGTGTTTTTGTTTCGTTTTTCTGTGCTTTTAATAAATGTCGCATTGAATTTTATAAAAAAAATAAAAATTTTAAAACTTAAAAACCAGGTCTTTTATAATAGAGCTTATATGACAGAGTCGGGAAGCAAATCCATGAAACCAAATATTTGTTAATAAATAAAGCTTCTAGTTTAAAGTTGCTTGATAAATAAGTATACTAACCTTGTTCCATCGTATACAGTAAACAAATTTTAAAATTAAATAACAAGAAAGTGTTTATGAACTCCTAGAATATACTGAGATGATACTAAGAAAGCGTTTTCGTTAAATATTTGAAAGTTTGTCACGGAAATTTTTTTTTGATGCAACAACTTTTGAGAAGAAAATCACGAATAGAGATCCAAAAAAGAAATAAAGTGAGCACGAGTAACGAGTCAAATCGAACGAAATACAGATTAGGGATTTTAGAAACATCAAAAATGTTGTATTTAACTAGCTCGTAAATATTTTGTTTCTGACAGTTTATTGGGTACTTTTTTAATGCTTATTTTGATGAAATATGACTACTAAAGTTACTAAACATTTCAGAAATAATGGCGTCTCCTAGTTCATTAACTGTTGAATCACAGACTTGGAATTCTTTCGAAGTCGCATGGGCCAGCCCCGTTGAAGGCTGGCTTCCATCTCGCTACGACATCACAATCTGCAACAAGGGAGCTCCCACTGATTGCAAGAAACATTTGAAAGACGATATTGAAATGCGTATTCGAATCGAAGACTTACAAGAACTAACTGAATACGAAGTTACTTTAGAAGCTGTTTTTAAACCAGTGGATATTATTACAAATGCCAAAATATCAGCTTACACTTGTAAGTATATTAAAAATTTATTTTCAGCAGTTTGTAGATTAATTCGTACAATAAAACTACGTACGTAAAAAAAGTTCAATGTATTTTAACCCCTTAACGATCGGTTAATTTTCAAGAAAACGGTTATAAAAGTGTCTATTCTGCCATAAACCCTCATGAAAAATTGTAGACAATAATTTTAAAGACAACATGAGAATTTGTGCTTAAGGCGATGTAAAATATAAAAAATATCTGATTTTTGAGATAAACGCATCTAAAGACTTAAAATCATTAGTATATCCATTGTTAACACCTTTCACAACTTAGGAAATAATTGGAGTACAAACAAAAGTAAAGCAGTTTTAGAAAGTTAAGAGTACAGGGATTCTAAATTTATAATAAACTCAATTTCAAAAACTTTGCCCAAAATTATGTATTTGCATTTTAATTTAGGATACATTCACTCCCCAATTCCTAAAATAAAATTAGTTTAACACAAAGAGAATATTAAGGAGTATTCGAATCAATCTTAATTGATTAAAAAAATGCATAAATTAAATATTGTTAACTGACAAACAATAAAAAAATAACCAAGAATATACATACATTTTTCAACAGTGACCTTTTGTTTCCTTAAGGCCTAGTTTCTTAGGACAGGACGCCGTCAGCTGGAAATCAGCGCTAACCTCTGATTGGTCCATTTGTGAGTTTGATAGTATACGTCATCGAACGCTCATCTTGAACTACAATTGCCGTCCAACTCAACTGCAGTTGGATTACAACGTGACGTTAACCACAGAAGCAATGGCGGACAACATCCAATAGCACATTGAAATCAGCCAAGATTTTGATTTTGACATTAAACATAGCTTCTTCATTAAACATAGCACTCTTCATTTAGCTCAGCTATAATGTGTTTTTTCTTGGACAAAGTCATTATTTGTTCTCTAAAACACTGGTCGACAATAACAAAATCAATACAAATTCAAAATAAATATTTGTTTACGTTATTAACGCATGCGCAATGAGAGATAATGTCTGCGTAGGACCGACTGCTCACGCTGAGCTAACAAAAAAGTATTTTTATGTCGTCAGTTCTACGTCAACTTTCCGCTGACGCCCAGATAAGGCGCTAGTTCTAAGAAACCAGGCCTTGAGCTAACAAACCAGTATTTTGTTGGCGTCAACGGGACGTTGACGTCCCGCTGACGCCCAGATAAGGCGCTTGTCCTAAGAAACCAGACCTTTAGATGTGTAGCAGCGTGTTTAACTAAAAAAAGATTCGCGTTATTTCGATGTCAACTGTAAACGATCTGTTATCGATATCCAAAGTATACCAAAATCGGTGTTTTCGGAAGCGAAAGTAATTCGCGAATGGTGTGAATGCGCGTGAGCTTGATGCAAACAGTATCCATTCTTGCAGTTTAGATTTAACAACCCCTTCTTAAGTCTATATGAGCACTCGATTTAGTGTTGACTTGAAATTAAGTGTTTCTTCATACAACTTTTTGTGTTGTTCAACTCCAAAGCTACATAGCACAAAAAGACTTACAACACTATAGTTTTCACAACGCAACAGCTTGAAACTCATCTTAGTGTGGGATAAAAGTTTACATAGATATAGATTTTTTCTTGCTTAACAGACATTCAGAGTGTTCAGCAATTGTCGCCTTTTTTATATATATTTTTAGAATCCTTGATGGAAATAAAATAAAAAGGTGCACTCAATAGGAAGTTGAAATTAATATTTAAGTGGGCAAAAATTCAAACGAAAATGCTATTGAATTATAAGGAAACACTACTGAGAAAAGCTGTATATCAAGACCTTTTTGCTGGATTTTATGATTGCTGGAAGAAATAAGAGGTGTTGAACGGCGATAATTGAAACATACAACTTCTTACAACTAATTAAGCAAGTTTGGGTGTTTTCATTCCCGCTTTCCTAGGCTGTGATTCGATATATTTCTATGATATTTTTGTTTTCTTTCTCGTATAAATACTAAATTGTGAATCTAAGTGGTGAATCTAAATGGTGAATCTAAATGTGTGGACCCTTTTGATTTCATATCTGACAAGGATTCTGAATCTATAAAAGATGTTCATTAGAGAAAAAATCTATAAAAGATGTTCATTAGAGAAAAAATCTATGAAATATGTTCATTAGAGTACATCCAGTATATTGTAAAAGTTTTACTGTATCTTATAATTAAAAAAGATGGCAACTATTTTACACCAAATTGGTGTAGTAAGCACCATAGATAACTCAAGCTTCTTGGTTCGTCATTACACCAAGAGAGTATTTTTTAAGATATTATTTGGTGTAAAGAAGTTGCCACCATTTTTCGTATTCACACAAATATTTATAATTACAGTAATATAAGATACACATAGGACTACTTACATAATATATTTATGTAGTATATGCAATCATAATGATTTGTAATCGTATATTTTGATAACAGCTTATCACACTTACTTGTAATTATAATTAAGCATAATCGGTTTTGTTTTGATAACTTGGGGTCGCAATTACTTGGAATCATGATTACAGTTTTAATAAAAATTATGGTGAATTGTAATCAAGATTGTAAGTAGTTGACTAGTGTAATTGATTGTCGTAATCACTATTACAGCTGCAATCCAAATTATGATATCTTATAATCATGATTACAAGTGATTGATTGCCGTAATCGAAAAATGTAATCGATTACATTTTTGCCCAACTCAGCATAAGAGTCAGTAAAGTTATTTTTACGAGACAATATAAAGCAATAATCATTAATTTTGATAGAATATTTACTTTAATTCTTAAAACAAAATTAGTTCGTAAATCAAACATACACATAGCCCAGAGAGAGAGAGAGAGATTATTAAGACAATTTTGAACTAGGCTCAACACAGCAGAAGCGAATAGAAATTATATATTTATAAAATCATTTAACACAGTTCATAATTTTAAAAATTAAAAGATAATTATCCTTATTACATAACGAAAAATATACATACATATTTTAAAGGAAAACTTTTATTATACAATGGCCTATATGTATAGCATAGCAGCATAAAAGAAAACAACTAACTCACGCCAACTCGTATTTCATTGTAAACAATATACTGACGATATCCAATGTCAGTCATCATAGGTATTTTCGGAAGCGAAAATATTTAAATTATGGTGAGTATGCGCGTGAGCTTGGAGCAGACTTTTAACATTATAAGAGTTTTAGAGTTATTTACACTTTTTAAATTGTATATGACAGCTCAATTTAGAGTTAACTTGTAAAGAAATGTTCATTCACATAGTTGTTTTGATTGCTTAACATCAAATTCAAAGAGATAGTATATGAAAATTTTCAAAATTTATGATTTTCCAAGTTCAGACATGTATTTTAAGAATTTAAATAAAGTATAAGAGATAGTATATGAAGATTTTTACAATGCATGATTTTCCAAGTTTAGACATGTTTTTTAAGAATTTAAATAATTGAAATGTGAATTAAGATTTAAATATAGTTAGGATATTTATAGAAGCACTTCCATTTGTTAGAAAAATGCTTTTAATTGTTGAAATGGATTACCATTTTATGTTGTTTGTTTTTCAAATAGATCCAAAACTACCAGTGCGGTACAATTTGTCGGCGACGGGTTCTGTTCTCGTCGAAACACCTATGCTGATTGCATTAGGCCGAAAAGATGCTCAAGTTACTGGTTCCCTGTTACTCGATGGCTCAGAAGTAGCGACTTCATCTGGTAATGTCAAATCAGTGACTTTAAATGGATTGATACCTGAAGCTGATTATAAACTGAGGGTGCAAGAAACAGGCTCAGACTGGCAACACGAGCTGGATCTCTATGCTGGTATGTGAAGTTATTTAATTAAAACAAAATGGACATCTCATAAATGGTCGATGACTTGAGAAGAAGAATGGAAGGAGATAGAAAAGCATTCTTCTAAGGAAACCATATATTTTTCTTACCAAATTTCAAAACAGTTACAAATTTTGTTAACAGATGGCGAAGCTAGCTGCAAAGGTTATGAAATTAGGATTTCAAAATAACCAAAATTTGCAGCTACAACTTGGAGTAATTTGAGTTCAAAATTACAAGGCAGTGGTAAATAATTCTTTTAGAATAGTCTGTCAAGCAGTAAAAAATATTGTTTTATAGTTTTATAGCGCTATCGGTTGACGAATTATGTAACTAAATTTGAAACTTCATGGGATTACATTGTTCAGCTTTCTAAACAGAACTCAGCAAACTGTAAATTTCTCTCTCTTTCCATTTGTCTTTAGTTGATTTTTCACTTCTATTCTAATTTGAAAATGAATCAAAATAGAAATATTAAATCTTTTCTAAGTTTGCATTAAATAAATTTTTGTGAGTAATCTTTAAATTCAAGCATGATTCACGGCAAAAAGAGCACGCTTGGCAGATAAGTCACTTCTCAGAGAAAATAACACATCACAATTTTATGTGGAGAATTATCGAAGGAGCATCGTAAAATTGGGTTCTAGTAAATAGTATAACTACCCCTAATTTCGACCCATCAGTGACATCGACTTTCCTTGCTTACAATAGGATACCTGCAAGTGACGTAGTGCTGGTACCTCGATTCTGATTGGTCGTGGAAAAGTGGCATTTGCTTACGTTAGCAACTGTCCTTTCCATTCTATTTCAAGTAAGCCAAGCTCGTCAAGTATCAATTCTTTTAAGTAACACATAATTTATTCTTACACAAAGATTCTATCATAAGGATTTAAATTCTTTCCCTAAATATTTTCTATTTAACAAAAAAAACAGGCATGGAGCCATGTAGAGCATGAACAAACTAATTATGTATCGAAGTTGCCAGGTACACAAAACAAAGATAGATCATGGTTACAATAAAATAGATAAACAAATAATAAATCTAGGTTGCGTAAAAGATGAAGACGAGAAAATATTATATTCCAACAAATTCGATGTGCGATACGGCGCTGTATTCAATTAACTTTACGTTAATTAACATTCTAACTGATCTGGGGACACTTAGCTCAATTTTAACAAGCCATTTTGCTTATAAACAATCAGCAGCAGGGCTGGGATAGTCCGGTTGGTAGGACACTGGGCCCATGTCCAAGAGGTCGTGGGTTCGATCCTCGCCGACCGAAGACTCCCCGTGTTATAAACGGTGACTGATGCACGTTAAATCTGTCGAGTCTCAAAGTCCTCCATGTTCCCATAACAAATCATACCTCTGATGGTACTGATCCAGGAGTTTCCTTGTCTTCTAGATTGGTTCAAAATTACAAGGCTATGGAGTTGAGCATTAGTAGTCACAAACCCAAAATTGGTTCGGCTGTTCAACGACGGCAATAAAATATAATAATAAAAAAAAGTAATAAAACGACGAGCAGCAGCTGACTTCATAGGTCTCATGTGTGGGTATCTGCGATTTTCTTCTTCTTGATCTGCAATTACCGAATCGATTTGTTAGATACTGAAATGGAGACGGAAGAAGATATATGAAGTATCTGTTGTTCTTAGTTCATGTTATGATCATGAAGAAGGATTCAAACTAGCAACTTGTCTGCCACGATTAACCTAAGAGTTCTCTATCGAATTCCAGTCTGGAGATCAGGTGGGCAAATAAATCTAGCAAATATCTGCCCATTTTAGGAAATTCTCGATATTTAGAGGGCAGCTGTAATCCGGAAAATATGATCCTAATACTTTAATTATTTGAGTGGTGGAAAGTTGGAATTCCGTAATTGAAATTTTTTTTCGATATTCCGTTGTAATACTGAATCTATATGAGAAAATCTAGATATTTTAGTACATAATTGTAGAACTCAACTATCAAGGATGACTTGCTGCAAAATACATTTTTTTAGGATTATTTTTGTTAAAAACTGGATTTGACCTAAATACTTGGCAAAAAAATATTTGATGTAAAATGTTGTCTTAAAAACTTATAAACTGTACTTATTGTTGGATAGTGATAGGTCTTAAAACTCTTGCATTTTATTTTTTATTCTAGCACCTCCATGCATATCGGCAGACATAAGAATCGAAGGTGTATGTAATCGTTTTGTGAAAGAAGAACTAATGTTTGAAGAAGCTTTAGCTTATTGTAACAAACTAGATTTGAATCAAAAGATTTATCTTCCCTCTCTTTGGTCTCCTTTTACTTTGGATGGCTTGGAAAAGGCTGCAGAAAACGTAAACTTCCTTTCAATATTTTGGTTGAAGTATGATAACAATCGGGTTCTGACTACTATTGGTAAGTACAACTATGCATTTCGATATTGATTATACATCATATTTGAGCAATGCACTTTTTGTCTGATTTTGCAATATGCGAGACAATATCGGAATATTTAATTTTACATAATAATTTAATTCTTATACTGAATGTCTGTACATTCATTTTATATAAATGTCGAGGATCCCAAAAATGACTGACGATTTGAAAAATAAATAAATAAATTTAAAAAATGAATCAAATGAAGATCTTTGAGAGATAGAGATGCACAGAATGTAGAATGTTTCTAATCAATTTACAAAGCTAGTTACAAATATCATCAACAGAGGATGCTGCTATCTGAGAAAAATTATAAAGCAAAAACAATGTTTTTAAAAAATCCCTTTTTGCAGATTGAGGGCAAAATAAACTGATGCCTCAACAAATACTTTAGTTGGAATGGCCTAACATGTAACTAAAATATTGTTTTATAGTTTTTTGAGTCAGTAGTTCCATCTGTTAACGAAGTTTGCAACAGATGTAAAAACTTAGTGAGAAAAAATCTTTGGTTTTCTTCAAGAGAATATATCGAACCACACACTCTATCCTGATTTTAAATAGATTTTTCTTATTATTGATCCTTTTTTTAAAATCATATTTTTGATTTTAATGGTGTAGTAGTATCTCTATCTACTCTGTACTTCTAAGGATGAAATAATGATGTGAGATATAAAAAACTTTCATTGAACATGAAATAATGAATATTTTTTCGCCATCAAAGTTATCGTTTTGCATTGTCAACTTCTTTCGACGCACTACAGTATAAGGCATTCAGTGGCTTCAAATTTATTTGTCATATTCTAGAGCAAACTTGGTTCGAAACATTGCAAACTCAAATTAAACCGTAGAGTTTAATTTGAGTTCTATTAGCTACTGAGTAGTTCTTTGCTCAGTAGCTAATTTGCCTCAAAGTTACTGAAAAGTTAAGGATTTAAAATAATTTTGTTGAAACTTCTATTTTGAAAATACTTATTCGCGTAAATAATACGAAACAGTTAAATAGTTGTCTCGTATTAAATTTTTCCGATACGCAATTATCCAATACCGAAATTCACTGTGAGTTTAGCTTAACATTCATCCCTTAAAGTTCTGAATTTTATGTCATATTAATCTCAAAAACACATCTATTTAAAAAATTGTAATATATTTTTGCATGCACTACCTGAATATTTACAGCTTTCGAATAAAAAAAGCGCTTCCATTATTTAAAATCTATAATTTTTTTATTTAGAAATGTATGTATGGTAGATACATAAGTTTGGCCCAACCAAGTTTGTTATACAACATATATATATATATATATAATAAATAAATAAATACAAGAAAACACAAAGAAAGTTAAGAAAAACAATAAGTTTCATTTANATATATATATATGTACAATTTACGTTACAAATAAAATACGAATTAAAATTGACAAGTATAAAATATATAATTTCAAGTCACAACAGACCCAATCTGCTAATATACTAATAATATAAATAACTGGCACTTATTTGAAGAAGAGTTTGAAGATAAAATAAAAAAAAAATTATTACCTCACATAAAACTGAAAAGATTACTACAACAAGAAAAATCTGAAAAAGTGCAACAGGAAATAACATACTAAATATCACCTTGGGAATATTGCAGCAGGAAAATCCTAATTGCTAAAAACAGGGAAAAACATCCTAAATATAAGAAAAAGATAAAATAAAATAAAATAAATAAATAAATAAATAAATAAAAAATACTAAAATTGAAATTGAAATAGAGGCATTGACACGGCAGCTTCATCAGGGTGCATTACCATCCTGTCAATATTTCTATTTTCGTGTTTTTGCTTTTTTAATATTTAGGATGTTATTTCCTGTTACTGCTTTTCGGTTTTTTCCTTTTGTGGTAATCCTTTCAGTTTCATGTGAGGAAGTAATTTATTTTGCTTTATTTCATCTTTAAATTTCTCTTCAAAAAATTTTATAATTTTTTTTTGGAAAAAAATAATCTTTACTTCTGCGATGACAATGAATGCAAATGATTTCAAGTATCTTAATTCTGAGTGATCCAGTTTCTTCGCAAACTTTTCAATGACTAAATATTTTTATTATAAAAGACAACTTTCTCAAAACTATCCCTTTTTTTATTAAGTTTTGCAAATTTAATTTAATCCAAAATAATATTAAACTGTAGCAAAAGTTATCATATAAAATAAACAATCAAGCTTACGAAAACTACTTATCATGTAAGTAGAAAATTTTTATTGGTGAATAAATTACTGTAAAGCTATAAATGTTCTTAAAAAACATTGAAAAAAATTATTAATTATATTACTGGAGAAGGGTGAGTCCATATTATTGTTTAAAAATTAAAATAAAAATTGCATTGAAAAATAATCATTTTTGTTTGAACAGAAACCAAAGGAGAATGCGCAGCCGAATCGGATAAAAAACCCTGTTGTACATATGATGCATCTAAAAAGGTATTTGAATGTTTTTATTGCTGCAAGAAAGACGCTACTAAATATTCTTTCATATGCTCCTATGAAACTGGTAAGTAACTAAACCTTAGGAATGAATAATGTTATTGTTTATTAATGTAACTTAAAAACTGAGTGTGGTGAGGCAACATACTCACCATATGATTGTTTATTTTAAATTAATCTTTGAAATTTCTAATTTCTAACAAAATTAAAAATTTTTTATCTGAATTTTATTAAAAAATTAAATGTTTTTTTAAATTATCCTTTTTGAATTTTAAATAAGTTGCTTTCACCTCATATAAATATATTTTAATCAGCAAGAGCCCAAAAGTTATGTTGAAGCGATTTCTATTATTTAAAATGCTATTTCATAAACTATCTTATTATTGTAATTACACGGAAATAAATTTTTCAAATAATGTTCTCAAAGAATATAAAATGTTTTTAAAAAATACACACGAAGAAGTACTTGAATAAATATATCTGCGCAACATTATGAGCGTAATATTATAATTATGAAATGCTTTGTAAAACGAAATAAATTGTTTATTTTTCGAATTAACTCAATCTACTTAAAACGCTATTTATACTTACATAAGAGGAATTGCTTAGAAGTATATTGACAATTTGTTATAAGTTAATAATTAAGAGTTGCAGGTAAAAATAAATTGTTTATTTTTCTCATTTATTTAATCTTTCTAAATGGTTATTTATAATTACAATTTGAACAAGTTGTTGTTTATGAGTAAGAAAAACAATTTGTTTCAATTAAGAAATATAGGTAAAATTATTTGTTTATTCCCTGAATTAACTCGATCTAAGTAAAACGTTATAAATGCTGAAGCAAAAAAAACAAAAAAAAAACAAAAAAAAAACAAACTAATTACAAGATAAAGATTAATTATAAAATTAAGAAACAATGCTTAAAACGAATATTGCGCGAAATAAAAAAGTTAAATGTGTATAGAAATACAATAGTAAGAAATTTAAAAAAAAACTAATATTGTAAAAAATGAAAAACTTAAAAACAATTCTTGGATGCTAAAACATCGATATGATTGATTAATTATTGTTTTTACGATAAAAAATTGAAGATTTTTATTTTTATTTTTTATATATATTTAATTTTATGTTCTGAACAGTAAATACGTATGAAGATCCGAAAACTAAATTTATTGATAACAGCAAAATCTAAAAGACAAATTTCACTGACATATTTTAATTAACTAATTCATAGTGTTAAATCTGTACCAAATGAATTGTTTTACTAGAAACTGAATTTCATCAGAATATTCTAGAAACATTTAGAATGTTTGAATGGATTTTACTTAATGTGCTTCAATTTTAATAAACAGTTAACTAATTCAATAAAAATTTCGATAAAAAATTACTTTTTATGCTGTTTTCAGCTTTTCTTGGAAAAGTCACTGATCTCCAATCAGATTCCGTAACGGATACATCTTTCAAATCAAAATGGTCGAATCCCACTGATGTAACTTGGATAGTATCCAGATTTGAGAGTACTTTAGTATACTCAAATAACTTAAACGTATCAGTTTTAGAAAATTCGTATGAACGTCTATATGAAGGATTGCCATATGGAACAGAATGTCGTGTAACTGTTACACCTCTTGGCTTAAAATCAATAAGAGGAGAAAGTTCTAGCATTGCTGTGACCACAACGGGTATGTGTTTTATACAGATATTAGAGAAAAATCCTTATACCACTTATGTGAAATTTGCATTATTATCTTTGTTTGCACTTATAAAAAATATGGTTTGCCATCTTTGATAGAATGTGCTATATATTTTATTATCTTTTTTACCATTACATTTTATTCTAACCACTGAATCTTTGATAGCGTTTAAGTGAAATGTACATTATTATTAGAGAGCAAATATATTTGCAAAGCGTCAGGGTTCTTAACTCTAACGTTAGTGATGCAGAGCAAGGAGTCCCAAAATAGTACCTGGAAAAGTTGTAATGAAACAATTTATTTCCTACTTAAGGTTAATTTGTAAATTGGTTCTAACACCCTGATCAAGTGCTTGATTTTATTTCAAATTAGTTCAAATAATAAATTTATACAATATTCATTTAAATTATGGGGGAAAACTAGGATGCTCACCGGGGGCCTTTGGTCCCTGGCTATTTATTGGTCAAATTGGATAAACTGCTATTTTTACACCCAAAGCTATTGGTGTTACTTATATTTGCATTTAGAGATTTAGAGTTTAGTGATGTCGGAAAAGGAAAAGACAGACAAATAGAATGACTGCCTGCTCGCACAATGGAGGTGAAGTCTTGGCTTCAAAGCTACTGCTCCAGGAAGTGTTTGCCGATCGTTCCCATGAAGTATATGCTGATTGTTCCCATGAAGTGTTTGCTGATCGTACTCAATTGTTTGCTGAGGTTCCACGTACTGTTGGTGCCACAATGACTGTTCCCACTCACATGGTTCCTCCACCTATCCTTCAACTGGATTTCCCTGCTCATCCAGTTTTATCATTTGGTAGGACTCATCCACAACCACCTTCGTTGCCAAAAACAGCTGCATCTCAAATACATGCTTCACCACTTCCTCCGAAAGTATTCAGCTGCCTACATCTGATTACAAGAGACGAAGCAAACGCTTGGGCATTAGCTTGCGAGATCCAGCTCGACATTGTTTCCAGTGCCAGAAGATGTTTTCAAGGATTGTAACTTCTTGAACTCATGGACTTTTGCCTTGGACACTAATTAAATTTTTTCACTTTTAGAGAACTAGGTTCCTCACCAGGTGCGTCAATGAATTTCTCGGTAATCCCTCGTCTGTGGCGAATGAGGGATGATACAGAGCAAGGAGTCTCAAAATAGTAAGTGCGCCAAAAACATCGATAAAGAGAGCCAAAAGGTGAGTTTGGCGAAGTTCCTTCTTGCTGTAGGGGTTGCATCCTTTTAGGAATCAGTTGAAGCGTTGCCTTGTAGTACGAAGGTTGAATCGAATAGACATGATGCCCTGGTGAGTGATCTTAGTTTCTCCCCCCTTTTTGTGTTACTTAATGTTATGGAATCTACATGTAATCAAGAAAATTTTAATCATTAAATTTTAAATTAACTTTAATATGTGTAACAGATTTTTAACTCCAATTAACATGATACATACTAAAGTAGAATCAATAGTTGTATCATTAGCTTCAGTTGAGCCTCACAGCACACTTGCGATTTCCATACAAATTGAAACATCCCTGTGCAATTATACTTAAGACATTAATACTTAAGACAAACATTATTATTGATAGTAATCAATAATAGTATTATTGATGGTGCTAATTTGAAGTATGTATTAATGATATTTTAATATAATATACGCAATAATATATATGGGTCATTCTCACGAAAACTGTCATTTTTCAGTTCATAAAATCCCAAAAAAGTAAAGTGAATAAAAAGCTCTGAAACTTTCTATATTAATAGAAATATGTAATGGCATTATAAAGAAAGTATATATCCTATAAATTATACTTAATATTTAAATTAATTAATTTTTTAAATAATTAATTTATAATTATTAATTTATAATAATTAATAATTAATTAATTAATTTAATAAATAAATTAATTAGTTTAATAAATCAATTTATTAATTTATTTTTCAAATTAATTAATAAGTAAATTAATTATTTTCACTATTTAAAAAGTGAGGGACTGACAC